GGCGCTCTTGGTGCTGAGCGTGGCGCTGGCCGTGCTGGCGCGGCTGCGCCGGGCCGGGCCGCCCGCCGTGCTGCGCTGCCTGGGCGCGCAGCGCTTCTCGCTGGCCGGCGCCGCCTTCCCGGCCGACTTCTGCGAGGGCACCTTGCCCTACTCCTACAACCTGTGCGTGCCGGCGCCGGCCCGCGCCGTGCCCGAGGCCGCTTGGCCGCCGCCGCCGCCGGTGCCCATCCTGTCGGCGGAGGAGCTGCTGGGCGGCGATTCCTGCGAGAAGCCGAGCCTTAGCAGTAGCGCCGTGGCGGGAGAGGTCCCCACCGACACGGATGCACCGCAGGTCTGTAAATCTGCATGTTGCCGTTGTTCTCCTTGAGCCGTTTCGAAGCGTTGTCTTTTTTTCCTCTTATTTCCCCCGCATTATATGAGCGAGGTTTGCTGCTATGTCTCAGCGTGACTGGATGATGAATCTGGCCCCCTCCTCCCTTGAAGAATAAGCATTTACTGGCGTCAATTATTGGTTTTTCGATGGTATCTGTTTCATATTTTAATGGGAGTTGTTGTCTAGAACTTTCAGGCTGCATTCAATTTGTATTAGTAGTAACGGTAAAGGAGAATCCTTACTCTGGAGAGGAAAATGTGCCAAAACTGTATGACGGATTTGGGAAAAATTGGTACTTGATGCTGGGGATTTTTCTTTCCTAATCGATTTTTTTTTCTATATACTGCACTCATGGATGCTGGTGGATGGCAGGATACAAACCCTTTTGCTAATTCTTCCTTTTCATTTTTATGTTCTTAAAGGCAATTTGAGAGTGGGATTCAGTGAATGGAGAGTGTCAGGCAATCCACCAGTGGTGAAAGACTAGAATGTCGTTAATTCAGTGGGAATTCTGCTATTGAAATGACTGGAGTGGGAATAGTCGCAGAAGCATTTAGCTGTTGTTAACAGTGTTTTTCGATCCTGTGTGGTACTTCAATCTTTTTTTTACATTCCTGATCTTTCTTTCATTCGCAAATGAAAATGTTGAAAGTATCAAGGAAAAAAAAATAGGTTTTTTTCCCTCTGCTTTTTACAGAAAGAGAGGATATTTTGTACCTTATTTAAATTGTCCTCCGTTTATTCTTAATAGTTCTTACATTGGTTTTTACAAGGATAGACCGGTGAGATCGGGAACGCTTCTATCAAATGTCAAAGGGATCTGCCAAAATAACTATTTAAGTACTTAAATCAAGTCCATTTGTATAATTATCCATGGTCTCAAGTGTTTAAGGCATCCAGCTCGTCTCCTACAATTCTACAGTATTTTGCTGAAAATATGGCTTGCCAAAGTGAATAACAAAGGACTAACACTTGACTAACAAGCTCCAGTTCCTTGCATCTTGAGTTCAGAGAAAATGAAAGCCCTTTCTTTTTGCTACAGAACGACTTATTAAATGTAAGTGTGGATTAATTTAGATTATTCTGGCAAGGTTCACTGCAGATATTTCCTGATCCCGTGTTAGTTGTAGTACTAACTAGTTAGTTGTAGTCAGCGAAAAGTGCTCCAGGGACCTACAGTCTTGAATCGGGGAGTGGGAGATAATGATCTTTGAGTGTCCAGGGGTTCTCCTCCTGTCCTCTGTTCCCATTAATGTCTTATAGGCAGACATCCTGGCAGGTGCCTGAGCAATCAAACTTCATGGCAGTTGTAAGGGGATGTGTTAGACCCCACCCTCTTCCGACTTTAAACGCCTCTTCTTAGTCACTCAGAGTGTAGTAGTTAATTTAGACTGTCTCCTGTAGGAAGGAAAGTTCCTGCCATCAGATTAATGAGCCTGATATCTCCGCTACTCCTGCGGGCAGAGTTGTGTGTTTGATCATCGCTCTGCGTATTTGTGAGCCTCATTTGTTTTGCTGTTGTCCTACCAGTCACACAAGAAGCACGGCTTCAACTCGTTTTCAGACTAATAAGATAAAATAAGATATTTGCTTTACCTATATCGCCGATAGCAAATTATATTTTCTTGTGAGTTTAAAGGGTCTCGCTCACGAGAGACCTCGGCTTTCCTCACGGTCGTGATTTGTTAGAGCATAAAAGAGGAGATCGGTTAGACAAAAGCAGGAGGTGGGTGCAGCGAATGTCTCCTTGCCGCCCGTGGGAAGGAGCGTCTGCCCGCTGCTCGGCAGCGCTCGGTGCCTGCAGTGCCGGGCGGAGGCTGCGGGCGCCGCTGTTGACCGAGAGGAGCGGG